TAATATGCTAACACGTCAATTAAAAATGTTATCTTTTGAGTTTTTTTTATAAATGTTATATAATGTTGATACGACTTTATTAAACCAGGCTACAAAGCGTTCGCCGAGGTTTATAATCCTTACTCAGTTTGTAGACAGTACGTGTTTATAATTTTACAGAAATTAGTTGGTCTAGTTCCGTTATGACTTATGTTTATAGTGTTGCAAGCTCTTGCCTCTGAACACTCAAGTAAACACGTCTGTTTCTGTTCATCACACAGGCTCAAAGACCCCGTATGTTTTATTCCCACCGTCACGTGTTGCATATACAATAGTGTCATAGATCACGTGTTCGTAAACGAATACAGAAAGTAAAGCATAACATACTAACTACACTACATTCCTCCTCTACTTGGATTAAAAATTATATTCGTGTGCGTCAACTTTAGACTCATTTCAGTATCTGTATATTATAGACACATCGGCTAAACTGGACTTCGAATGAAAACCTTTATGCGTTAACCAAACTTGTTCATCAGTTAAACATTTGAAAACAGTAATCTCTACACCAGTAGTAAGTCACAATATAAAATCCATTTCTTTAACAACATCTATGTTTTAACCTACATGTACAGCTCCTAACGTCGTCTGTAAGTTACCACGAATCTAAATATACATAACAAACTTTAAAACGCGCAGGCACTTGCTTAGCACGTGTAGAGCGTCTGACGTTCCCCTCTGCGTTGTCGCGCAGAGCATCGTGTGGTTCGTCCAATGGTAACTCCACCATTGCTTCATCATCTATTTCTTCTCCATTCGCGACTGGATGTACACGTTTGAACTTCGAAAGATTGCGTGTTATCTCATGATCTCCCCGCTTAGCTGTTACCATGCTCCCTTTTCGATTCTGCACCTTGTTTGGTCGTGGATCGTACGGTGTAGACAGCTTATTTGACCTTTGCTGCTTCACTATGACCATATCACCGATTTGAATTCTACTTTCTCTTGCATGGCGTTTGTAGTCGGCATAGGACTTCATCTTGTCCTTCCTCCGCTTATCGACTGCACGAATATCTCGAGCTTTCCTGTCTTCCTGAAGGTTAGTTTCTGGTAGTTGTACCTTCATCTTTCGGTTGTTGAGGGCCTCTGCTGGTGGCATCCCAATGCTCGAGTGCGGCGACGCTCGATATTGACGAAGAAATCGAACTAAATCGCGCTTCCAATTTCGACCTTCGATGTTAGAAACTCGGATTGTCTTATTTAGTGTTTGTAATGATGTAACGTTATGATGTGCACGAGAGCGTACGAGATTCCACGAGAGACTCGCGCTCTCTGCTAATGTGCTTGGAAGTGTGAGCTGTGTTTGAGGATGGCTCCTCAGAACAATAAATATATCAACTAACAACATGCGTTGATCCATAATATTACATGGTGGCAGCGGTGGGATGTGTTATGACGTGCACGAGAGCGTACGAGATTCCACGAGAGACTCGCGCTCTCTGCTAATGTGTTTGGAAGTGTGAGCTGTGTTTGAGGATGGCTCCTCAGAACAATAAATATTATATCAACTAACAACATGCGTTGATCCATAATATTACAGTGTTCTCATGAATCGTTTAGCTTCTCCATTTTCCTCTGGCAACAACGGTGAATACGTCGATGACGAAATCCCAACTTCTGCAAACGATGAGAATTCTGTACCATTAAACGGTGGTCCGTTGTCGGTTTTCACTGTGTCTGGTATACCTTGCCTGGCAAATATGCTATCTAGTTTAGGAATTGTGGCCTTCGATGATGTACTTGTCACCAGCTCTACCTCTGGAAACCTACTATACTCATCTACCACTGCTAGCAAGTATTCTCCCGTCGGAAATGGACCGGCAAAATCTACTGCCACTTCTTTCCATGGTCTGCAAGGTAGTGTTGTCATCTTGAGAGGTTCTGGTCCTTCTGCATTGTTGGCGGTAGCAGCTTGGCATGGCAAACACTGCTTAATTCGCTCTTTCACCAAACGATCTATACCCGGAAACCAAACCTCGCGTAACAAGCTCTTGGTCTTGATGACACCTTGATGTCCAACGTGGGCCAATTCGATTGCTTGCTGACGTAACGAAACTGGCAACAATGCGTGTGTTTCTCAGCACCAAGCCATTGAAGACTGCTAACTCATCCTTCACTGTCAGATATGGAACGAGTTCCTCGTCTGCCCAGTGTCCATGTCCAATTGCACGGATTAGCCTCTGTAGCACCGGATCTCTCAAAGCATGTTCCTCTACGTCTCTCACAGTGAGTGCCTTGGGCACAGTGTTTGTACACATGTAATTTATATAGTCTTCGGCCGCGTATGTCGCTGCTGGTTGATCCGGATGCCTACTCATGTAGTCAGCAGGATTTTCGTCATCTTTTCCTGGACGGTAGTTGAGAGTATACTTATACGGTAACAACCGTAACCTCCATCGGTCAATCCTGGCAGATGCTTGCTTATGACTGGCAACTAACCCAATCAGCGGCTTGTGGTCTGTTATAATATCGAATTCACTCCCATACAGATAGAGATGAAAGTGTTCAGCACCCCATACTACTGCTAACATTTCTCGTTCTGTTTGTGAATATCGCTGTTCAACACTAGATAGTGCTCGGCTAGCAAAACTAACGACTTTCCCGCCTTGGCATAACATGGCGCTACGGACTTGCGTCTACTACCACTTCTGAACGCTTGGTTGGATCAAAATACTCCTCTGTGCACACGCTGGTCAGTTTATGCTTGAGGTCATCAAGTGCTTTCTGGTGCACACATGTCCACTCCCATTGAGCACCTTTATGTGTAAGTTCACGGAGTGCAGACGTCACATCAGAATAATTTGGTATAAACCTGGATACATATTGTGCCATCCCTAGTAGCGATCTGACTTCACTTGCGCTCTGGGGTACACTAGCATTTACGATACCAGATATCTTCCTACGATCGGCAGCGATCCCGTCACTGCTGAAAATGTGTCCGTAGAAAGTAACTTGTTTCTGTCCAAACCTGCATTTGTCCTTATTCAGCTTTAAGTTGGCTTGTTCAAGTCGCTCTAGTACCGCTTTCAGGTTTTTGTCGTGCGATTCTTGGGTTTGTCCATACACAATGATGTCATCTGACATGTTTTTGCATCCCTTTAAACCGGATAACACTCCTGATAGTGCATTCTGGAAGACCTCCGAAGCGGCGTTGATACCGAACATTAACCTTTTGTATCTGAACAGTCCAACATGCGTTGAGAATGTCGTAATGTACCGACTCTCAGGTTGGAGTTCTAGTTGATGATACGCCGACCTTAAATCCAGCACACTAAAAACTGATGCACCATTCAAGTCTGTGATCAGCTCGTTGATTGTTGGCATGACATGTTTTGTGCGTTTTATGGCTTCATTCGCTTTCCTCATGTCCACACATATCCGAACCTCATTGTTCTTCTTTGGTACCACCACAATAGGGCTGATCCATGGCGTTGGACCGCTAACCTTCGCGATAACGTCCATTTCTTTTCCTTAGTTTGTCCAGTTCCCTCTCGACAGCTTTCCTTACATGGAATGGAATACGTCGATGCGGTTGTTGCTTTGGCTCCACATTCTCGTCGATGTATAGCTTCACCTGTATGCTTTCCGCTTTGCCCATACCATTGAAGATGTTCAGAAACTTCCCGGCTATCGTCTGCATCTTAGATGTAACACTCTGTGCTACATGTATAATGTCTAGATCTTCAGCTGCTCTGTAGCCTAAAAGGTTACCTGTGCTGCCATCTACAACATGAATATTAGTCTCCACAACCTTTTTGTCATACTGTATCTTGGTTATAAGTACTCCAATGGTAGGCAAAGGGTTTCTTGAGCCATAAGGGTAGACCTTAGTCGTCGGTTGTTGAAACAGCAGTGGCACATGGGAGGGCCCCTTTAACCGGTTGAAAGTTTTGCTGTCTATGATGTTCACCGATGCCCCTGTGTCAACAGTCATTCTTACGACTTTCCCCTCAATCTTTACGTCGCACGTTGGTAGCTTGTACCCGTGCTGTCTCGCACCAAACGTGTACTCGTCGTCCGAGGAATCCGACTGATGTGCTTCCATCTCTGCTGTATAATGCTTGTCCTCTGTGACGTGATGCGCTGACTGTTCTCTTCTCTGTCTTGATCTACACACTGCAGCGAAGTGGTTAAGCTTCCCACATGTTCTACAAGACTTGCCCCTGGCTGGACATGGCTTACTTTGGGGGTGTGGATACAGTCCACCACAATTACGGCACGTAGCCTTCCTACCCACCAGTCGGGAGGGCTTCTGTATCTGTGCAGTAGCTTCCGTCGGCTTTTGTCTAGCCTGCTGTTTCTTATGAAACGGTTTTGAATGAAAAGTGTTGACGGTCCTACCATCGTTGTCACCTTCATCATTCCTAAGGTGCCTAAAGTGGATTTGCACCGCTTTTCCCATATAGATGTGCGTTTGCTCCTTCGTTTCAACCGTCAAAACCTGTCTCTGGATATCCACTGATCTGTTTTGACCCATCTTTCAGTTCCTCGTCGCCAGAATATTGTGTTGTAAGCTCTTGCCTCTGAACACTCAAGCCCGGCCCCCCCCCCCCACTCAGTGTTATCTAGGGTACGCATATGCTCGTTCCCTCCTTTTGAAAGCACCCCCTATCTCAGGACTGCTAAAATTTCTGAACCCCCCTTTCGCGGGCTTTTTGCGGGTTTCCCTGCCTTGGAGACCCCCCTAAATCTGGAACACTGCTCAATGCACCCCCTATCTCAGGTTAGCTCTCATTCCAACCGTAGTGACGTGTAGCGTGTGGAACTGTCGAACCAGTCTACACTACGTAGTGTAGAGTTCAGTGATCGAGGGGAACTAGGGGGCAATATTTTTACATTTCAAAATTAAATAATCCTGAATGAGCTTTCAAAACTAGCAGGATTTTCAGGAATTTGATCCCGGAATTTGATAAAGTTTTCTATGATATTCAAGATGAAAGAGAGGAAAAACACCCCCTTTTTAAAGAAATCTCCGGGTGAAAAGTCAAATACACCCCCTTTTTTACAATTCTTGGACCGGATTTTGTCGCGCGAAAAATACCCCTTTACCGGAGATTTTGGGAACGCGCATGCGGTCCCTCCGACCTTGGAGGGGGGGGGGGTGGCGGGTACTCAAGTAAACACATCTGTTTCTGTTCATCACACAGGCTCAAAGACCCCGTATGTTTTATTCTCACCGTCACATGTTGCATACAAAAGTGTCATAGATCACGTGTTCGTAAACGAATACAGAAAGTAAAGCATAACGGCATTTTATTTGCACGGCTCTATAGTTTATTCCAACCTATGCTATTCTGCTAGTTTAAACTTTCTCGCCTTTTCTCAACATGTAATCATTTCAGATTTGTATGTGGTATTTCTTGAGTGAGTCTGTCCATGCGTCAGTAACAACACGAGCAGCTTGTGTACAGAAGTCAACCTAATTGCTACGTAAGATATATGCTTATCTTCATCAAAATTCATCCGTCCAGATATATGCATCAGCCACGAACACGCACGCATCAGTAGTCAGTTTAAACAAAATGTAAGCTATATAAATAAAATTAATTGGAGTTCGTTTAAATTATTACAGTCTTAATTGTACATTTAAAGTAGAACAGAGATAAGCATAACACAGCATAACCATTAACCGCGTAGACATATACATTCCCACTTTGTTCAATATTATGTATCTTTCATCTGGGGTTGTTATTAGATAGTCGATTGAACATATGTTATTGGAATTTTTTGACGGACAGTGGCAATACCCCGATCCACATGTGGGTATTCTTACCTTTTTACTTTTATATTATGCTTCTACTTCAGCTGCACTCGATTCCTCCTGGCTTCTTGCTCGGCCAGCTGATTACTGCACTTCGATTGGCTCCTAATATTCCCACTAAATCCAAATATTTTAATCGTTCATCCCTCAATAGTCAATACCTACTAATGTTGTCCAAAACCGCATAGTATTTGTAGTTCGAAATTGCGTCAGTGTAATGATTATGTGCTGGAACTTCAATCATGGAATTTTCTGGAATCGTTATCATGCAGTGCTGGAACGATCTGGATATATAAAATCAATAACGAAGGAGTATGGGGAGAGGAGAGCAGTGTCATTCTACTGTGGATTCTTCCGTCAATAAATGTTTGCCCACTATCACCCAATGCTTTTGCGATCTTTTCATATTTTTATTGACTGTTCGTGAGCTTCAGTCTACTTATTATTTTTACTTCTCCCTTCAAAACTCGACTGCATGCATGCCAGCCCATATTTGATTCCATTTCCATTTTTTACATTCCAAGCCCGTATAAGAAAATTTTGATAAAGATTTTGTTTCTCGTCGTTGGTGCGCACAAGGAAGCTATACATAACATCAGTCGTGAATAAACACAAATTATACATTTTACTCACACATGATAATAATAATTATAACGTCAAAGAACCCGCATCTAATCTCTGCGCTCTTATATATAGCTACGCCTGTAATGATTGCGCGTGTCGTATGATGGCGCCACCATGTATAAACGTTAACTGATAGACGCACGCGAACTCGCCTTATGTTTACAAGCCGAATTCATTTCAGGCAATTCTTGTTTGTACGTTTATTATGGTGATACAAATTGTTATATGATAGTCAGGGTTGAGCTAGCAACGTTATAATGATACCAATATTCGTTAGAAGTGGATGCAGTTCTGCTCTAGTATTCAACGCAAAAGGTGAGGTACTGAGTACTGAGTACACAGTACTCAGTAGGCATATACCACTACCAGGCACCAGTAATGCATACACACACACGCACGTGTTTTTTTGATTTTTTGATTTATTTATTTCGATAATTAACAAAGCATACATTACATCGATAACAGCATAAATAAAACAAAATGCAGCTAGAAAATTATCGAGGATGAAAACACAAAAAGCGTGGCTAACACACTTATTTCCATTGTGGTCCAACATAACATTGTATTTGTAGTTTGTACATACTATAAACTATCACTATGGGCATAGCAAATATACCCACGATGTTATAATAATATTGTAGCGTGAGTGGTTCCATAGGTATAGATATAAAATACAGATCTGTATTCCATATCTATTGTGGTTCATGGATATATCATAACCGCTGACCACAATTCATTTTCGCAATGTGCGACATGTGCAAATGTGCAAATGTGGACATGCAGCTCTTATATCCTTGGGCCGCGTGAGCTTGGTGCCATGGACGCGATATCGGTCTTGCTGTCAGTGCTGCTCATAGGGTCTATGCCCCCCAGGGTACTATCGGAGGGTGTACTAACGATATATCGGAACGTACCCTGATAGTGGTAACTATCTGATATGATTAGGGTTAGGAGTAGGCGTAGGCGACTCTCGAGACTTGTTAGTGGAGTAGGCGAGGTACGGTCCGGCATATTAGATAGTACCAGGGTACGTTCCGATATATTGAACCGTACTCAGGGTACGTACCCTCTAATGGTACCTTGGGGGACATAGACCCTATCAGCGTCAGTGCTTGGAACGTGACAGGCTTTCAAATTTGAAAAGTACAGGAGGACTACTAATGACTCCCCTAGGACACCATAGGGGGTCTTTTCACGCTCCATAATCACACCCTTAAAGCCGCACTATGCGCATCTACATGCTTATTTCTCCAGTACTAGACTAGTAAATACTTCGTGTCATGCATAATCATACTACCTTATGACAAAATAATCTCTAGTTCCTCCCATTTCACTGCGCGTTGTCTTATAAAAGGCATTTGAAAATACCTCCAATGTTGTTCAAATTCTCCGATGTTGTTTACACTTTCGCGTTGCCCTGCCAAGCAACCGCACAGCGGTGTTGCGGTACAGCGGTACGGGTGTAGCAAAGATAAAAACAGGTGACGTCACCTAACCGTTTCTTGGCGAAATTGTTTGGCAAACAATTTAGCGTTGGCGCCAGATTACCAGATTTCGCACCTCTTTCTTGTGGGTTTTAAGCAAACGCGCAGTGAAATGGGAGGAACTAGAGTTTATTTTGCCATGAGGTAGTGTGATTATGCATGACACGAAGTATTTGCTAGTTTAGTACTGGAGAAATTAGCGTTTGGATGCGCATAGTGCGGCTTTAAGAGACATGATGGAGAGCTCCACTAAAAAATCACACCCTTAGGAGGCATGATGGAGAGCTCCACTAAAAATCACACACTTAAAAGGGATGATGGAGAGCTCCTTGAGGGCTCTCCATCATGCCTCTTGGGGTGTGATGATAGAATCATGACCAATCCTCATGCAGTCTAGAGTGAAATCCAAAAACGAAAATTGGGATGTTATGTCAATCCACTGATTATCATTCATCTTCACCTTCATTCATTCAATGGCTTCGTCATGATTACATTAATTTCATCCAACAACCCAACACTAGCACACAGATTAATAAAAGAGTTGATCAGAAGTAAAAATAAACTTATTTTATTTATTCTGATCTTCATGCTTAGAGACTCTAATCCATGTACCTGCATATTTCAGCACGAAATATCATCACAATTCATCAACAAACTAGCCAAATTACTTGTACGTAGTAACCACGTATGTAGCCCCTCCAGCCCTACGACTGTTTCACGTCGGCAGAAAACCACTTCTCGCCACGTATATTGGAAAACGAGCAGGTAACTTGTGGCTACCGTGTAGGTACTTGTATTTGGATGCTGTTGTCTAGTTGTGTAAACCAGAGGGTAGTAACCTGTTTAGACCTCTGTCCTCTGCCATACGTTCACTTACTTGCACACAACAAATTGTTGTGTGTTGCTAACCTTTTTGTACCCCCCTACATTGACAACTCTATGGAGCGCTATTTCAACATAACACACATACTTTTGGTGCGCGATTTCAACCACTTTTACGAGGCGCGATGATGCACGCACCATGGCACCATTTCGCGTGCGCGGTGGAGCGCGAGTGCGATCGCGCCCCTTAAAAATGAAAGCCTGACGTGACAATAATTATATTTACCGTTATTAATAAAATGGTGGTAAATAAACACAATGTTTACTACAAAATTCTTAATGTCTATATTCTTTCTTTCGCCTATATTACTAACACTATAATAATTCCTCATAACTGATGCTTCTCTGCAACACATAATTTCACCGCAGGCATAGAGCTTTCTCTATCTTTCTTTGACTCACAGCGTGAGTTTGTGCCGTAGCATGCGTGCAGTAAAATTGTGTGTTGCAGAGGAGCAATTGAAAGGAACGGTTAGTTCATAGAGAATACATAAACATTGAGACTTCAGTAATAAAGACATTTCGTGTTTATTTACCATCATTTCATTATTGAAACGTTTCAAGTGCCTGTGCGAGTACAATGTAAAGTATACATACACATCAACAATCCAGAAGCTGTATTGTAACAGAGCTGTTTTAATACTGCACCTTGGCACATGTCAATTACAGCATAGATATATATTTCTTATCTTAAACAGATGGCTCTACCCGAATAGCCCCCTTAGCTCTGCCACAAACACTACTGTTAAGTAATGACAGCGAATGATATAACTCAAAAGATTATTGCTGGAGCTGTTACATGTTGCTGCTTTACGCACTCGAACTGCTGAACAAGAGAGCGATATCAATCTGCTCTGACCTAACGATCAACACTAGTTTATAGAATGTGTGCATGCACGTAGGAAGTAGGCCATACTATTACAACTACCAGCCTTTACCTCCACAGTTCAGTTCACAGGCCGCGTTACTCAGTTACCGGTACCAATTTTTAGTTGATCTATGTTAATCTTATTCGTTTATAAACATTCATGAACCTTTTTCAGATGCATGTACCTTACGGGAAAAGCACCGGATCGTTGGTACATTTGTTGGATGTTTGCCTCGTGCACCAAGGCAGAACAGTCAACTTGGTTTACCTATGCACTTACTGCCCGAAGAGGTTACACTATTAGTTGAATTAGGTAATTCTTACTTAAGAGTGGAGAACGTCTAGCAATTTAGCACTGGTGAGCGCTGTGATTCAGTGGTTAATGTGGCCAGTTTCACTGTGAAAGCTGTGAGTTCAATCCCTGGCCAGGCCAGTAAAGTTTCTCAAGGTGTAAAAACATGACTCTCAACACTGCATGGGACTGTGAATTGTTTGTGCCTTGTATGACCATGTATAATGGTGGGCCCATCTCTAGTAATTTGGACACAATAGGCAGTGCATGACCACCCTCAGTGTTTGCAAATACATCAGCCTGGTGTAGTGCTTTAGGGCTAAGGCCGACCTAAAAATTACCTTTGGTTCGGGTCACCCGCCCGACTTAACATTTCGGAGTGATAAAATGTGCGACCGCGGTCACTTTTAGAGGGTTTCAAGAAAAAATAAAATTTAAAGATACCGCCTGCCGATCATACATATTCAAATATCCGACTCTTGTCATTTTATTTACCTAAGGAGAGTTCCAAAATATTTATAAACAGAACTTCGTTGGCGCGAAGTGAAACAGTTCCTACCTACGTTTCCTAGAATCCTACAACGTGAAACAGTCGTATAGAGCCTGGGCCGGGCCGGCCGGCTACTTCATAAACAGAGCCTGAAGGTCGTATGGCGCAGCGGCCGGCTTTGATGTACGCGATCGATCGCGTACTATATAGTATACGCATGCTATCGTGCTATACGCGGCCGCAGAGCCGTTTACACTTCGGTTACTCGCTTGTTCAAAGGAACGATTAATCGAGCTCCGTTTTTGGAGCGATTCCTAACACTACTATCCAGTACAAGACACGAATACCAGTACACGACACCAGTAAACGACTGGTGTTCAAATTTTGAAAACAATGTCATGACTTGCAGCAATGGTACATGCAACTGCAAGTCATTTGCATCTCGTGGCTCCTGCATTTCAAGCTGTATACCCTATATTTAACTTGTGGGAAAAAAAATTTATATTCCTGCCTACCCATGTTTTTGTTTGGGAGAAAAAAAAAAAAAAAATAAAATGTTATGCCTACCTACCGACCCTAATTTTCACAATCCATGTGACCCGAACCAAAGGTATTTTTTTGTTTGGCCTAACTAGTGAGTGAGACCTCAGCTTCATATCAGGGTTCTCCAAGAGCACTTAGCCTGGCGGCCCGCCAGGCTATCGTCGAGCCCCACCATCCTAAAATGCACCTGCCACTTAAAATATCATAGCCGCCATGCTAAAATTTGCTAAAAAATGCTAAAAAATGCTAAAACTAGGACCGTAAAGGCACATGGTTCGCACAGTTTTTGGAAAGTCCTTGAATTTGAGGGGAGTCCTTGAAAAGTACTTGAATTTAGTAAATGTTGATTTTGTGCTTGAAAAGTCCTTGAATTTCATGAAAATGTCCTTGAATTTTTAGAAAGAATCCTTGGCTGTAATAAAAAGGAATTTTGTACCATCAATAATGTACAAAACTCAATAAAAATTTCGTTAAATGAGCTTAAAAAGCTATAGACACGATAGACAGTTAAATGATGATCACAAATTACAGTAAGTCAATAAAATCAGTCAGTAAATCAAGGTATGTTGTAGAAGTGACAGTGTTTAGAAGGGTTTATTAATGTGATCCAGGTATGTTTTAGAGGTGACAGTGATCAAGAATGGGGTTATTAAATTAATTCAGGTATGTTTTGTTCTGTGTATGAATTCCGATAAAATGTCTGATAAAATGTCCTTGGAAAGTCCTTGAAAATTGTTTCAGTTCTCCTGTATGAACCATGAGGCAGCCCCGCCATGCTATAATGAAAACGCTTGGAGAACCCTGCATATATATAATAATACAGTTAGCTACTTATATGTACACTATACAGATATATATCTTGTTACTATATTCCATAAATTTAGGACACAGACAGACATCACAACATAATATCAGGAGTGGACAATAGAGATCTATTATCCATTCCTGATAATATAGCGTAATATGAAATTGTCAGTGAATCATGGTACATATGGTACCTAGTGATGTAGTGGTATTTATATGTAATGCTATTGATATGGTTTCTAACATACTTGTTGACTAAATCCCTAACGATGAAAAAATGATCTTTACTTACCTGGTGGGCAGTTAAGACAAAGATAAACGGATATAGCACAAGTGATGTCAAATCTTTATGCTATAGCGACAACAATATATATCAGGAGTAGATAATAGGGAAGGAGTGTGACATCAATAAACAAGGGAAATTCATCATTTACTAGCCTTATAATACCTACGATTTACTACGCGTAACTCATCCAACTTGAGCTCAAATCGGACACAGTACATTCGCCTACCATCGTGCGAAATCGTTTCCTCGTATACACCCGCAATCCGGAGATACAGACTAAAACGTACGACACGATTCTTCATTCTTTGGCCATCAATCCAAAGCCATTGCGCGCCTCTAATTCAAACAAAAGGCAGCTACCCAACCACAGCTTGCTAACTCGGCGGGCAATGTGGCTCGCTGGGAGATTTGAGCCCGATCAGCTGCTGCTGATTGCGGTTGGCGTGCGTGCGTGAAGGCATGCCAGGTATGTGCAGAGGTGGCCTGTGTAGCTGTGTACCAGGTCAAAGGTTATCTCGCCGAGTGTTGATGCCTAATCTCCCAGCGAGCCACATGCCTCGCCGAGTTAGCAATAGCGCGTTAGGTAGCTGCCTTTTGTTTGAATTAGAGGCGCGCAATGGCTTTGGATTGATGGCCAAAAAATGGAGAATCGTGTCATACGTTTTAGTCTGTATCTCCGGATTGCGGGTGTATACGAGGAAACGATTTCGCACGATGGTAGGCGAATGTACTGTGTCTGATTTGAGCTCAAGTTGGATGAGTTATGCGTAGTAAATCGTAGGTATTATAAGGCTAGTAAATGACGAATTTCCCTTGTTTATTGATGTCACACTCCTTCCCTATTATCTACTCCTGATATATATCATAGTGTGATAGGTGTAACGTGATACAGATCGTGTTGTGAGTTACCTGTGTTGTCCCACCCCTAATGTTTTGTGTTATATTTTTTTAGGTATTGCAAGGTTACTTAATGCAGACCCTTTATTAGTTGGGCCCACTGAGGAGGATAAGCAATTTTTTCAAGAATCCAGGAAGGAATCGTATGTAAAACAGGTGACAGATAGATTTTATATTTGCTATACATCTATTTGTTAATAATGGTCTCTAAATTTACTATAGGTGTGTTATGTGCATTTACTTCTGCTCCACTACCTCTTCCTACCTTCCCTACTTTGCCTTCTTCTGACAGACAGGAATTTCTAACCAATTGGTCTGTTGGAGACTTGGAGTTATAAAATGCAAGCTTTGTCAGTAACAGGGTTTCTTCTACATAGGAGGCACTACGCCGCACTGCCGTTGTTAAATTTAACATCGCCATTGTGAAAATTTTCCTGTATTTATCCGCCGTTGTCATTACCAATTGCAGCTTTTTCCTCGATTCCGGGAAAATTTTGCTTTCACTCCCTCATACCAGCGGTGCCCACCCCTACATATACAGCAATAAGCACGCCCAAGCGACTGTAACAATCAGTGCATTGCTCCCCCCCCCCCGTACTTCAATCAATGCCACCCCAGTTAGCAAGCACGCCACGATGTGCACAGCCACAGACGTGGGTAACAGGGGTGTCGTGTTTAACTCAGTCCCGAACGTGCACCGTGTGCGGGCTAGTTTGCATGTGCATTCGGCGCGTGCGTTTAGCCATAGATGTGTTTGTATATATCTATGGTTTAGCTCCCATGATGGGCCTGCTCCAACAGATTTCGATTTCAAGGCAGCTGTAGTGAAATTCTACAAGAGAAACCTTAACAGAGTCCTGAAGTGCTCTGATACCAGCTGCAACATCTGTCAGTGTGGCTTATAGGGTCTATGTCCCCCAGGGTGGGAGTGTGGGAGAATGGATCCAGATGCGTGAGTCTCCCGCGAAATGCGTGACACTTGGTAGGTCTGCTATAACAGAGTAAGATTTAAACTAAAAGGCAACATTTTATTTTCGGGGGGCCTCAAATGCAGTCTAAGACATTCAAATTTTTAAAATTTTGCTCGGGGAGACCCCCAGAACCCCCCTCTACCTCTCTCCCCGCATCTGCCTGCAGAATCCACATTCGTGCCTATTCATTTCATGACTGTATTACTATTTAATGTGAATACTTGTATCATTTCATATTCATAGATTATTTGTTCCTTTTGACAACTTGAAAAAGAGATTCAAGAGTCTCATACAATGTGTTCAAAATAGCTTAGAATGCACCAAATTGCACCATTTTTTCAAAAATTCCCCATGGGAGCATGCCCCTGGACCCCCTAGCTCAGCGAGCTCCTGCAGTGCTCGCTTTGCTAGGTTCTCGAGATGTGCAAATACACCTTTGAATCCATTATGCAAGTTTTTTCCCCAAACCGGCCATTACCTCCATTGTCTAATTCTCCCCTAGAAGAAACCCTGAGTAACAAATCAAACTGTTCATAGGTGAATAATTGTGAAAGTCAGAGAGCCACACACCACAATTGCAGTTACACACTGCACAATTTTCTTATGCAAGATGTGTATATCCTGGCCGGCCTTATAATCTGATATGACAAAATACTATGTTGTTTACATCCCACTTGGTCATTTACACGTTTAGGTAAAGTTCCTCCATTAAATCTGTGTATCAGGCTCATCCAATGAATGCTCTAAAAGTGTCTATTATAGAACGGTGGCGATTCTATATAGATGGTTTCATTGCATTATTGGCATTCAAGGGAAGTGCCACAAGTGTTATTTTAGAAAGGTGTCTGTTCTCTAGAGCCTTTGTTTCTACTAATAAAAGTTTGACCATACATGCGTATTTCAGAGCGCTAATCTTTTACACGAGAGAAAAGCACAGCTCAGTAAGTTGGCAGACAGAATAACAGCTGGCAAGATAGAAAAGATGAAGAACCCATATCACAAGAAAACTCGAAAAGAAAAGAAAAAGCAAAAATTGCAATTAAAGACTGAGGGCTCCCACTCGATGAATATTCACACATCGATAGAGGATTCCTGTAATGTAATGAAAGAATGTATGGAAAGTGAGCCATATTATAACAATAGCAAGACATCTACAGCTGATAATCCTATTCCAAATAAAAACCAAGGTGTTACTCATGTAGAAGACATAGATGGGGATGCTTTGAGCCCAGAGCAATATAGTGTAATGAAGCAAAAGATACTAGAGGAAATGTGCCAGAATCTGGAGCCACTACGTGCTGATCAAGCAATGGTACAGCAGTGGACAGGTGAGCAGAGAAAGGGTGTCCTTACTATGTACAATAAACTAACTTGATTTCCCTATCTGTTTACATACAGATTATGTTATATGGCCCTGCATCCCATTCACTGCAATAATATCTCGTGTAAAGGGCTGATATGTTGTGTTCATACTCGGAATGTAGTGCCGCAGCAAGAGCAGCCACATTAAGTTTGGAAATAGTAAGAGTCGAACTGGTCAGGGCAGAATCCTTTATGTGGGGTGTTTCTCTGAAGCATTTGTTGTATTATGGATTATCTTTGACATAATGTCACTCAATAGCTGTTTAGAAGGGGGCACATCCCTATTTCGTTTTGGAGCACTACTGTATTTTCTATAATTTCCAATGTGATATTAAAACAATAGTATTTTCTAAAAGTTATAGTCATTTTTTTACACTAGAGAGTCCACGATTGGCGACTATAAAGCAACTGCCAATTGACTGGGACTTTCCATGCTCCCCTATAGAGGGCCTGCGCTATGCAGTATATAGTGACATTTGGCATCGAGGATACTACCTTACAGTCGGAGGCAAGTTTGGTGGCGATTTCCTGATCTATCCTGGTAAGTGACGCAGAAGCCGTTGTGCATCGTAACATTTTCATCCGGTAACAGATTTGCGCGATACCATTCGGTTTTCTCAGCTGCCAAGCATTGCAGTTTAAATATTAAACGTCCTATCTTGCACATGTATCAGCATGCAATGTGTATGTTTGCTTGACATTCCTCTGTATTGCTGCATTCAAACCAGAAGACCTAATTAAGAGATATAAAGGCTAGTTAATCCATACACTCGGCTCGGATTTTATCGTAAATTAATGATAACCTATAGCCACTGATTATGTTCGTACTGGTTGCATGCATGTCCAGTATATTTGCAGTTGCAAATATTGTGCTCTAAAAGTGAGTACTTATGCTTATTACTCCTAATTTTGTATTTTCAGGGGATCCTTTGAGATACCATGCATTATATGTTGCAGTGTGTCTTCCATATGCCCAGAACCTATCCCCATTAGAAATGATACAGTATGGCCGCATAGCTTCCAGTGTTAAAAAAACTGTTCTGCTATGTTCAGTGAATGACACTGGTAATGTGGTGTATATATCACTTCAATGGAGTGGAATCACCTAGTTATCACAGAGAGAATGGAGGAAATACAGTAGGTCTTAATTATACTCCAACAATTAAAAAAACATCATTTACTTTTTTAGCTCATCTGACGAAGTCAGATGCAGCTTGTAGAATCGCATGATTGTTCGTGCGTGCGTGCGTGCGTGCGTCCGTGCGTCCGTCAACAGTTGGGCACAAATCTAAACGGCTCGACGTACAGATTCGAAAGTCGGGACGTGGGGGGGTAATCCGAAAACGAGTTGGAATGTCGAAGCTGGGGGTCAAAGGTCAAAGGTCAAGAGGTGTAAAAGAAGGGAACATTTCCTCCTTAACTTAAGGTATAGGGAGGAAATGCAGAATTGCGGCACAAATCTAAACGGCTTGACTTAGGCTCGTGATAGTCGGTGTATAGCATTATGGTAGGAAAAGCCATTACTGTGCTGAAATTGGAGGTCACAGGTCAAAGGTCAATGGGGCACAGGGCAGATTTTAGACATTTTCTGAGAACATGGTCTGACGGAACGATTGAAAAACTTTTTTGTTTCAGCAGTGACCTACCATTTTTATGGCTTTATTGAAAGGACCATGAAATGTACTTTCCGCTGACATGCAAAGAGTAAGTGTCGGATAACCTTTTGACCCTCAAGAGGAGGGTTAAACATGTATTTGTTTATTGTTAGAAAGAATTTGACTGCCGGGTTTGCTAGTAGAATCTATACATGCCTGGACGTATGAGGCTACAATGTCACAGTGAAATTTCAAAAGCTAAATTTGGTTGAAGAAGGTTTATGCTCCTTAAATCGTATAATTTCTATGGCATTCTGTACTGTCAGTGTACGTGTTACATGTAACTTATGCCACTGCCAGTAGCCACTGCCAGTGCATGTGGTGGTGATAGTACTGTGTAGTTTTTGCCTGCGTTAATTAGTTACAGGTGGCAGCTCTCTATTTCAGCCTGTAGGCTTCCGTAGGTAAATGGATGAGTGCTTACCTAGTCTGTCTTGCAAATAGTTGTTGCTACTACGTACGATGGGAGCTTCCATTTTAATCTTAAGACACTTAAACGTATGTGCCATCTCGTGGCAACTTTCATAACGATCCCAACGAACATTCCTTCGAGAAGGTTCCTGATACCATCCCTGTGCCTTCCACTGTTTCGGCGCGTATGTGAACACATTTGGGACTAACAGGGTTTACTAGAATCCCACCACTCCACCACAGAGTCCGGCACTTGTTAATATTATATATTATTTATAAAGTACAGCTAAATAAAAATGAATTTAACTAGTTGCAATGAAAATTCGTTATATTCTCTGTTTTCAATAGTTTCGTAGGTATGAGATTTGTAGCCAAATTATTTGAGTAAAAAATTTATGCTCATTTTTGGCAGTAGTAGCTCCTACAAGTAGCTGTGTCCATGATATGCTAAGTTTACGTGAGATGTATGCAATCATTATGTTTAGTGCTGTGACAATGTAATTGCTGAGCACTTCGTGTTATGTCCATGCTGTTGTAGCAATCTACTGCATGCACTCTATACTGATATTCACGAAACGGTTATTAAAGGGATCCTTTACTCTAGGTTCTAGTCTTATTTCAGTTAATTTAGGTTAAAGCGATCATTGCGAGTTTTTTTCAAGGTTTTTTAGTGTTTATTCTCACTCTCATGATGCCTACCGTTGTTGCTTGAGTAACAGTAATTGTTTGAAATAACAATAAAATGTCTTAGAAAAGATATAAGACAAAATCATGCACGATTACAATTTTGCGTTCTCTTGTTGATTTTCGCTGTCATGTCTCGCACTTTCTCGCGGTACCGCGAGACGTCAACAAAGGTACAGTAATGCAAAAATCGCACCGGAGATATTTTTGGTCAGATGTAAACACAGAGGTGCATATAGTAGCGTAACACAAACAAGAGTGTAAGTGCATGGTAACCTCATAAATATTAGTCTTCAAAAGTCCTAGGGACTATAACGAAGACGGAGAGAGAAGTGGATCAAATCCTCGTTGCGTACCGCCAGCGAGAATACTTATCACACACAAATAGATGCCCCTTTTTTTTTTATAACTATTTTCGCTTGTTTGAGACGCCATTTGTGATTTTTGAAAGTCTTGACTCGAAAAAATTTATTGCTGGTATGATGTGGTCAAATTAATTTTTCTATGCTATAACTGCATAAAATATTGGTGTTTTGAATGTTGGTGTAATCAGTGATATTTTTGCTGTCAGGTGAGACTATATTCAGTTATATTTCGTTTTTCTGAGCAAAATTCTCACAATGATCGTTTTAAAATTGCGCTACATAAAAAGTTTCATGGTTCAATCACCATTAGAAATATTTTTTTAATGTTTTAAAACTAACGACTACAGTTTGATTACAACGACTGTGGCGCGACTCAAAGCGCACAATCTAAAAAGTTGCGCAAAACGACTTTTTAGCCAAGGGCTACAGACCGAGGGTGTTTCTTATTTATTAATTTAAAAGCAAAAGGATTGTAATATCTTATAAACGACATATAGTTTCAGTTATATTACGGATAAATTTGTCCTAAAATGAACCTCGTTCGGTTAAATAGCATTTAGGTATAAATATAATTGCACCTTTGTGATTAGCCCTCGGTCTGTAACGTGCAAAATATATTGGGAAATGCGCAACTTTTTCAGGGTGGCAGCACGGTCGCGGGTGTCAATGGCACCGTTAGAATTTCTTAGCGTTGATGTATAATTAATTATAACAATTAAATTAGGTATCTGGTAACAAGTACGTGTGGGTATAGACGATTTGTTATACAGTAAGTACAGTTGTCTGCAGTAAAATCCTAGAGTCTAGTATCCCTTTAAGAATATAATATAGTAAACTATTAACATCTCTACCAATACCCTTTGATTTACCACACTATTTTCTAAGGGCCTGAGCTGCAGGCATATATGTACGTGGAACAGTAATGTATGAGGCATCAGCTGAGCATAATCGTGAAAATGTACATTAATAATTACACCCCTGCAAACGAAGTTTGAAGGGGGTATATAGGAGTCATCTTACTGTCGGTCGGTCAGTCCATTGCAAAAAGTTTGTGGTGCGTAGTTCTTCCACAGTTTTCAAGGGATTCCAATCAAACTTCATACACTTGATCGCCATGAAGTGTAGATGTGCGTGACATATTTTGTGTGTGCGCCGGTCAAGCCGTTGCCATGGAAACCGTATCTCATCTTTGATTATACCATAGATATAAGGCGTTTTTATCGAAGTGAAAGCGCTTTACGGTTTTGCAAATCTTCCATTTATCTAGACGGTTTCGTGAAAGCGCTTTGGTCGTTTCTTGTTTTTATCTAGACGGTTTGCGAAAGTGCTTTGCGAAACCGTCGAAACTGCCCGGCGAGCGATTTCAGACGGTTTCAACATTCAATATGGCGGATAGTCAAGTGTAAGTTATTAAGTAGTTTTCTTAATAAATGATTATATAAGAATAATAAGTTAATGTGTTATAAAAACGTACAAAGATCAGCTAAATCCTAACCAAATGGTCTGCCATCTTGCGTTGTTTTTATGTAACAAAAGCGCTTTCACTAAACCGCTGATCACGTGATTTAGGAAACCGATTTACCGGTTTCGCTTCGATAAAAACGCCTATAGAAGAAGATCTTCTATATCTAATAGATATATAACGGCCGAAGTATAATCATAGACTATGATTATACTTCGGCCGTTGCACAAAGTTTGTGGCGTAAACTACTTCCACAGTTTTCAAGGGATTCCAATCAAACTTCATACATTTCAATTTTTGATCACCATGAAGTGTAGATGTGCATGACATATTTTGTGTGTGCGCCGGTCAAGGTGTTGCCTTGGAAACCGTATCTCATCTTTGATTATACCCCCCGCCGTTGCAAAACGTTTGTGGCTGAACTACTTCAACAGTTTTCAAGGGATTCCAATCAAACTTCATACACTTGATCACCATGAAGTCTAGATGTGCCTGACATATTTTTTGTGTGCGTCGGTCAACGTGTTGCCATGGAAGCCGTATCTTTTTTTAAATCTCTTTTTTCCATCAAATTTTTTGTGTTTCGTGTATTCTTTACTCATAATATATCAGGGGCGTAGCCAGCCTTTCCAAGAGGGGGGATTCCTTCCAAGAGGGGGATTCCAAACCTACTATATACTAATAAAACTTCGTTAAAATTTTCGTTTTATGCTTTTACATACATACTGTATCAGATATGTGCTATTTTGATACAAACCAGGGGGATTCGGGAATGCCTGGAATCACCTCTGGCTACGCCCCTGATATATGCCACACCATGACCTTTCATTTCCCCGCCGACAAAGCGGTATTGCGGGGGTATTAATCACTATCAGTGATAGTTACTGTAAATCATGGGGCAAATAACTATATCACATGTGAAAAAAACAAATAGAAGTAGATGTATCAGTTTCACTTATGAGAT